CTCCAATTCAGACTGGGGTAACTCTAAATTTGTAATTTATCAGTAAGATTCAGGTCACTACTTTGTAGTACCCTAATTATACTTAGAATTTGGGGCAGACCTAAAATTATAAGTCCCCACCATTCGAGAATATAATAACATATTCCTAATAAAATGTCAACCTAAACATGAAAAGATTCTCTTAAAATGTAAAGCCCAAAATTGGGTAGACTGTGGTTACCTATAAGCTTATCAGAATCTGGTACCTCTTACTTTTTTTTACTTTGACTCACTATGAACTGTTCAACGTTGAGCTTTCTCCTTGGAAAATTTCTACTTCTTTATTTCTCTTTTACTTTGTAATCAAAGGGTATAAAATTGATGTTTTAATCCAGAGTTTTCTAAGGAGCATCCCTCATAGGATGCAATTAACTATAGGGGCTTATGCCTATAGGGATTTGAGAACTCCAAATTAAAATAAATATTATTTTATTCCTATAAAATAAGAAAAAAATCTCTGAGAATGCATATATCTTTTAAAAATACATTTCTAATTTTAAATATATCTGTAGAATATTATTATTATCTTTTCATACAATATAACATTCCACTTGCCATATTCAATCTTAGAAATAATGAAATTTATAAAATTCATTTTTGTTCTTAGATGTCTTAAAAAATGTTATGTTCATCTTTTAAGATGATATAATATTCTCCTCGTTACGTCTAATCAAAATGATGGATAGATTTTCAAAATCCTATTTCTATTTTTAAACATACTATATAGAATTGCATGTTCATTTTTTGAGATGATATGTTATTATCTGAATTGTGTTTGATCATAGAAATATCATATTTCAAAATTCTATTTTGATGTTGAATTCATTGTAGAATATTGTGTCAGTCTCCCAAAATTATACTTTATTCTCAATGTAGTATTCATATATAAAATAGGAGAAGTCAGAATCTACATGATGGTGTTAAATTTTCCCACAATAATAGTTATCAATGTGCTTTTAGTATGCCAAAAATATATAATTAACTAAATGAATAACAAGTATATACATATCATATATTTTCATGCCTAGGTGCACTGTACTAACTTTTGATTATACTCAGTATTCTACAACCTATTTCAAAAAAAATGACATTTATACAGAATCAATCGGTGTAAGTTCACCACGAGCTTGTCAAAATATTCTAGGTGATAATATACATGTCATATAAAAAATTACATAGTGAAAAATAATTAAAATGAGAGATATTGCATCTTTATCAATTATAAGAGGGAAAATAGGTATAAAGAAAAAATTATTGAAAATAGAGGTAAGGTTAGGGTTACTTATCACAATTAGAACACTTTTTCCAACTAAAAAGGGAAAATATACTGGCAACATATAAACATGATATGCACATGCAAATATTGACATTTATACTATATATACAATATTTAATATTAACATGAATATGTATGAGATTTCAAGAGAGAACACATATATAATTTGCATACATAGTTAACATTTTTTGTTAAAATAATATTCATAGGAAACATTTAAAATGTTATTTAATGCAATTAGTGAATTGTAGACAATGGCAAAAAATGTCACATATATAATAAAATATCCAATTTTTTACACAAATAAAACCAACCTGTGAAAATTTACTTTCTTTTAAAATGACCATAATGAAATATTCTATAAAATACAAAAAACTGCAATGTGGAAAGTTTCTTAAACTTAATAAAATCATTTAAAATCCCAAAAATATTTGTAAAACATCAAAATTAAAATGAGAAATGTGGCATTGGGAACCTATCTCAAACTCTAGCTTGCCAAACAAACCAATTTGGCTCCATGGTCTCCAAACTCTAGATTTCTCTTTCTCCTTCCCTCTTTTTCTCTTCTCCTCTTTCCTCCATGGCAAGGGGAGAATTAAAATGGGGTAAATAAAAATGATTTTAGATATTTATATAAAAATATCATTTTTATCCAACATTGTGATGCTATTTCCTTCAGTGCCGTAATGCTAAGCCCACATATTCTATATACTTTAAGAATATTCTAGATGCTTCAAAGAAAGAGCTCGATGCTGCAACACCCATGCCTAATGACATTGGGTTTCCAAGCACCTTTCCCCCATATAGATAAGGCAACAATACCAAGCACATTGCCATAGTGCTCCTAAATAACTTTTTCTAATTTAACTCCAGATCTTTTTAAACTTAAATAAATGTTAATCAACTTAAACTTCATAAATATTTAATATTCATGAGGGCAAACATAAAACCTTACTATTTTGATTCAAGTGGCTAGTTCCTGTAGAAATAGTTATTACATTCTCCACTCCTTACAAAAATATTATCCTCAACATTTATACACAAGTAAATACTTAGAATATGTTTGTATATAATTGTGTCATTTTTTATTCCTACTCTCAAGTAGCTTCCCATTATGATAAATTTTTCCATTGGATCTTAACCATCAAGATCTATTTATTTCTTAATTGTTTCACATCATAGGACAGAATGTAATCAGGCTCTTCCCTATAAGTCAAATTAGGATATACTTCAACTTTATCTTCAAGGATTATCTAAGTCGAAAACCCACTTTCTTGGCACCAACACGTGAAATATATTATGGATGTCTTGTATGTGATTTGACAATAACAGATACTTTTAAAAAAATTTTATTACTACAGAAGGTCCAATATATCTCAAACTTAGTTAGCAATCTTTAACAAACATGCGTACACATTTAATTGGGCTTATCTCAAGAAAATGAAATCACCAACTTTGAATTCAACTATTTTATACTTCATATTATATTACTTCCTCTATGTGTTATAAGCTACCTCTAGTCATTTCTTAATTAACTCAATATTCTCGGTAGCATTATCTACCAACTCTGGACCCATGAACTTCCTCTCTCCTACTTCTTTATAGGACAATGGTGTTATGTACCTTCTACTATATAAAGATTCATATAATGACATATCGACACTAAATTAAAAGCTATTATTATATGCAAACTTTATTAGTGGAATATGATCTTTTCAGCTTCCCCTAAAATTCAATGCACATAACCTCTATAGATCCTCAAATAGTTGAATAAATCTCTTAGATTAACTATCTATTTGAGAATAACAAATATTTATGAAGTTCAACTTCATTTCCAAACCTTCTTGAATTCCCTTCCATAATTTTGACGTGAACCGACCATCATAGTCAAAGATAATTACCTTGGGTATTTTGTGTAATATAACTACGTACCTCTTTTATGTATAGTTGTGCCAATTTTCTATAAAATATGTAAGCTTCATACGAAGAAAATAAGTTGACTTAACCAATATGTCCACTATTAACCATAAACCATCATGACTTTATCTAGACCTTAAAAAGCTCATTGCAAATTATATCATGACTTCTTTCCACTTCTATTATGGAATAAATAAGGGCTTCAATAATCCTCTAGTGCTCTACTTTTACCATTAGATATATCTCGCACACTTGGAAATAATTTCTGCAATATTATATTTCAATCCAAGCCACTATAATATTTTCAAATCTTGATATATTTTGCAACTACCTGGATGAATCATGTATCCTAAATAATGGGCTTCATGTAGAATATCCTTCCTCAAATCACCACTAACAAGAACCTAAAATTAGCTACCATAAGTCACCATGCCTTGCTTATTCACTTGCAATTCGAGCTTCTTTCTAGATTGAATTTGATCAATTATTATCACATATTCATCATTTATCTTCTAGGCTACCTTAATTTTGTCTTGCAATGAATGATGAACGATTATCTGAGAGTTAACTCCTGCCTTCACTTTAGATGAAACATATAACTTCCAATTTCAACTTCTCCATTTATTGGATCAGAGCTTGCTCAGAAGTAGTTAGGGCAGCTGCTCTTCCGATAAACTTCTTGCTCAAAGCATCAACAACCATATTGGCTTTACTAGGGTGATAAATAATATAAATGCCACAATCTTTGATCAATTTTAACAACCTTCTTTGCCTTAGATTCAACTTCTTATACACGAAGATATATTTTAAACTGTGGTGGTTATTATAAATCCCCCATCTAACTCCGTATATGTAATGCCTTTAGATTTTCAAGAAAAAAACAATTGCTACCAACGCCAAATTATGAATAGAATAATTATTCTCATGTGACTTCAACTACTTAAAGACATAAGTAATAACTTCCGCATCTATTTTAATACACATTATAGGCCTTTCAAATAGGCATCAATGAAATACTTGAAACCCATTAACACCTGACGGAATAGTCAACATAGGGGTTGACATAAATCAATCCTTCAACTTTTGAAAACTTTATGGTGAAAATTTACAAATGAAATACCAGAATATGTAAAATATTTTTAACTACGACATATCAAATGTTATGTGGTGAAAGTTTGTTGAGTGATTGGATATACCAAGCTTTGCGTCAAAATTACAATTAAAATGTCAAAAATTCTCAAAAACTTCAAATCAATAAAAACTAACTAGGTAAAATATAGCATACCTTAGCCCGAATAAGTTTTTGAACTGCCTCGACAAATGAAAATGACCTGAAGCAACCTAAAATGGACTTTATTTCTCTTGGATTCTCTCTCTAGTCTGTAGTTTAAAGGGAAATGAAATGAATTTAGCGGTTGTGTTTTAGGTGAATTTTGATATTTATTTAAATAACTTTAATTTTACATGCATTAATGCACATTGTTAGTATTTTAGAAATAAATTTGAATATGATACAATAAAAACAATAACAAGTCTTTATACCACGTACTATATGGGGTTAGATACATGAATATTTTTTCTCTATTATACCATATTAAAGGTCAAATTCTCATTTAAATGTAATAAAGAAATGTCATTCCCCCCCAAAAAAAAAAAAAACTGTTAAAAAATGGCACATGGAGATTTTAATGTAAGGTTAAAACTGTAATTAAACCTCTTTCGGACCAAAATCCATAGATAGTAAAATACGAATACATAGTTAACAAAAGAAACGCAGTCCAAGAACCAACGGTGATGGGCTCCTGGTGTTGCTGTGCTGACGGAATGAACGGCCAACAGAAGCCAACACAGATTCCTCTGCGGCGCCGGAGACGGCGGAGACAAAGCACAAGATTAATTCTTTAATTTTGGCGCTTTTAAATTTCAAAATTCTCTGCTCTTTCCAATTCCTTCCATTGGTCCTGTCTATCTCTCTCTTACTCACTCTCTCTCCTCTTTATATTTTTTCTTCTGTCTTCCTTAAAAGAGTTCACCGAAACCCTGGAACAGATCGTTTATTGTGATCGCTAGGGTTTGACATATCGAATTTGAGGAGGAGCAAATATGACGTCTCTTTCACAGTACCCCATCGAGGCGCCAATGGAGGCCACTTCATGTGGTTCTTTACTCAAGGAATTGCAGGTTCTTTCATCCTCTTTAATCTCATTTCTTGCCCCTCAGCACCCAAAAACACGCATCCCTTGTTTTCTTATTTCTCATGCTTCTTTTTTCCTTCGATAAACGGTCAAAATTTCGGAGATTTGGATAAATTCTGAAGTTCAGAATACGTCCAAGTTGACTTTGGGTCCTATACAATTGTATTTTCCTTCATATTTTTAATTTTCTTTTTCTGCCCGCTACCTTTTCCTAGCGAAGAATTGTGCGATGAATGTTACGAATCCGGCTTGAACTGTTATATTTAGTTGGAGATTCTATATCTCAGTTATTTTCAGTTCCGGCATCAGTGCCAATGTCTCTTTTTTCAATTGATTGCATGGTAAAAAGCCAGACTCAGAATAAATGATATCATCCTAAAAAAAAACAGAAGTTCGAATTTTCCCCCCACCATCCTATTCTATTAAGCCATTTACTGTTTGATTTACGTGATGCAAGAGAAGTTTTGTTTATTTTGATTTATTTTATTTTCTTGCAGCCTTATGTATGTCCTGCTCTAAGTTCTGTTTGATTTACGTAATAAAATGTTTGAGCTGTGAATTGGTTGCATTCAGGGATTTTTCCCCCCTCATTTTATATTTCCTTTTCTTTGGCTGACTTTAAACTGCACGGGATATTACAACCACAATATATTGTTTGATTACGCAACCAAATTTATGGTATTGTTATCCTGTTATGATACTTGTTTTTTAATTGTCATGGTGGGTTTTATGTGAAATTTAGATTCTTTGGGATGACATTGGCGAGACTGACCTTGAAAGAGATCGGATGATACTTCAACTTGAACAAGAATGTCTAAATGTCTATAGAAAGAAAGTAGATCAAGAAAGAAAGCACAAAGCATATCTGGTACAGTCATTGGCCGAGGGTGAAGTTGAAGTCTCTAAAATAATCTCTAGCTTAGGAGAGCTGGGGCAAACCATTCAGGTTGGTTCCTTTGTTATCCATTTCCTGTCTGTGGCCCATGTTATAACTTCAAAATGTTTTAATGAATTTCTGCTTTTTTTTTTCAGTTAGGAAAACAAAAATGTACGCTCAAAGAGCAGCTTTCTAAGATAGATCCATTGCTGAAGGATCTGAGGAGGAGGAAAGAGGAAAGGGCTAAGGAATTTTTAGAGGTTCAGTTGCAGATTGTTCACATCTGCACAGAAATATCAGGTGACGTCCATTCAAGTGGTTCTGCGTGCCCTCAAGTTGATGAACGGGATTTGACCTTAAAAAGGCTTGGAGAGTTAAAGTGTCAACTTCTTGAGCTGCAGAAAGAGAAGGTTCTATTTTGAATATACTTTTTCTGTTAATAAAATTTAGCTACACTGAGCCACTGACACTGTTTCTGTTTTCTTACAGAATACGAGATTACAGAAGGTTAATGATCACATTAAGACAATATATGAACTATGTAGCATATTATCTAATGATTACAATAAGACGCTCCTTGAAGTTCATCCTAGTTTTGTTGATGCTGTAAACACCCAGTCAAAGAGTATAAGCAACGAGACACTTGCTAGACTGGCAGGAACCATCAATTCACTGAAGCAGGAGAAAACACATAGGCTGCAGAAGGTCAATTCATTACTTTTTCTGCTTAGGATGGAAAATTTAACTGATTGCATTTGATTATCTTCATAGATTTAATGTGTATGTAACATGCTGAGTAATAGTGAATTAACATCACTCATAAATGTGAGTAAAATTAAAAGAAAGAGTAGTACACCTCCAATTAAAATTGCAATAGGTCCCCTCGCTGATACCCATGTAAATATTTAAAAATGTCACCCGGCTGGAAATGAAACCCCAAAAAGAGGGAAATTTACATACATACCACTTTATTTAATGCTATTTACATATCTAACATCCAAAATTTTAATATTACATTCCTATCACTTATATAAAATTTTAATATGAAATATATCACTCCTATATTTCATTATCACCACCCATACCACCCTACAAACTTTAATATTTCATTCCATACACCCATTTTTGTTTGATTGGTGATAGACTTGTAATATTAAAATTTTAGGTGTTAGATATCTAAATAGCATGAAATAAAGTGGTATGTATGGAAATCCCCCAACAAAAAAAATCGTTGACATGTCATGTTGCAGCATCCCATAAATTTTAGCTGCTTTTGATAATTTGGTTTCTGATTTTGGCAAATGTGGAAGAACAATATAAAGCTATATCTAAAATATTAATGACGAAGGCTTTACACTTTCTATCAAATGTCATTGATCATACAAGACTAAATCAAAATTTGACAAATAGGTATAAAATATCATGCAATATTCATTGGGAATGAAAGGAAACGGGAATGGATGAAGCTGACCCCCAAATTTGGGTTAAGGCTTATTATGAACAACATAAACATGTAGTGTAACTATGTAAGATCTAGGTATGCTCATTTTTAGGATAATAATAAAAATATATTACCACTCTCCAAAATTTATAGAGTTCAGGTTAGACGCTTTAGTTGAAGACCCTTGAGATTATTCTCTTTAGGCATAAGGCTTTTGCTTTGTAATTTATTTTTGTTTTAGTTTTTTAAATTAACAATTTTATGTAATTGATTGGTGTTTCACTCTTTTCATTGACTGTTTATAATTTTTTTTTTATTTTAAGAAAAGAGAATAAAGAAGAAAATATCTTCTACCATAAGTAGACGGTGATGAAGTATATTTAACTCAATCCCTCTGTCAATGGAGAGTTCATAAAAAAATACAACTTTTCTTTTTCTTTCCTAGTCTCTTAATTACTTCGTCATCTAGAGTTATCTATCACAACAATTCCAATGCTCATCCGTGCTGAACAGTGGCAGTGGATTGAAATCCAGTGCTCTTGAACTCTTATTAGTTACCGTGGTATCTGTCGAAGGGTGAAAATCAAAAATAAATTAATCTTTTTATGACATGTAGATAAATGCTTTTAATAGAATTTTGTTCACCTTCATATTGATGAAATGCATAAAAAGGCATCTAAATTGTTAAATGTCATCTGATACGTTGTTTGGATTAAACCATTTACTTTTTGTAACACAATCTTCCTGTCGTACAATTAAATTAGACAATAGATTGTGAACTTATGTAAATTATTTCTATCCGGCTTCCTTCTGTTTCTATTTATGAACATGTAATTTTAACGTTTTGTGTTGCCCATATGCTTCCAAGGTTGAATCTTGTGGAAGTTCTCATCTGAATCTAAATTTTAAACTGTTTATCTTTTGATTAGTTATTTTTGTCTCCCTTTGCTCAATATTTTCTTCTTCTTTCCCATAGCTTCAAGGACTTGCGAGTATGTTGATAGAGTTATGGAACCTCATGGACATTGCCATGGATGAAAGAAATAAATATGACCATGTCACTATGCTGATATCAGCTTCTTCTGATGATGTGTTAGGCCATGGTTGCCTTTCAATGGATGTGATTGATCAGGTAGTCATCTTTTTTTAAAGATTATAGAAAAATGGAAATCCTATTTGTAGCACTTTCAGTACGTTCTCTTATGTCACATTGAACATGTTCTTTTCCAAAATTATTTTAGGTGGAACTTGAAGTAGGGAGATTAAACATCCTTAAGGTCACTAAAATGAAAGAGCTTGTCTTAAAGAAGCAAGATGAGCTTGAAGAAATCTATAGAGGAGTCCACATGGATTTTGATAGCGATGCAGCACGACAGAGGATTATAAACATCATAAATTCTGGTTGATTCATTCACCCTTCTATTTAGGATTCATTTTCATGGCAAATGACTTCGTTTCTATATACTACATTCAATGTGCTGGTATTATTATGGGTAAAACAATGTTTTCTCATCAATTTCTACAACTTGTCACATCATTTTTGAAGATGACACTTAGATTGGATTTAATTACTATCAAACTATGAAGTGTCCTCATTTCAAGAGGGTATCATTTGCGGTTGGGCACCATTTTGGATACTATGATACTCAAACACTAATGTTAATGGTGTTAAAAACACCATTTGGGCAAAAGTTTGTCTAACACATCCTAACTAGTGTTATGTTAGGAGGGTGAAATAATGGGAGCCAAGTTGAGCTCACTAAGACTTCATTTGGGATAGTTTTTTTACTGCTTCTTAAAGCGGGTTTTTAGTACAAAAAATTTAATTTTTGTACTAAAAGTTGCTTTAAGAAGCAGTAAGAAAACAATCTCAAATGAAGCCTAAGTTTAACAAATTGAGCTCTATTTGACCTTTGTTTTCTTACTCTCTTAATCAATGGTATTAGAGTTTATGGTCTAAAATCTAAATATGTGTTTTACTTATTTTTTGTGATTAAGTGCTCCAAGTTTTTTTTTTCTCCCATCAGTCTTGTTGGGTTCTATAATTGTTGAGTAGTTTTCAAGAGCGTTGCAGCTTTGACGTATGCTCTATTTATTGAGTAGGCTCTTTATGCATAATACCATATGATATCGAGAAGTTTTCATTTAAGGTATGGACTCCTCTGGGAGGAGATGAATTTGTCCTGCATCAGAATTGAAATAAAAATTGGACTCTTAATATACTAAGAGTGGTCTTTCCGTATTACCTTAAACTTTTGGGTCAATGGGTTCCTTCCAGTAATTTATTGGGCTCAACTTGGGGCCCTAACTTTTTGTACGCGTGACAAAAAACAATGTGGGATAAAGGCTTGATGTTGTTATTGTTGTTGGCAAAAATAATGCCACTATGAGAAATTAGAAGTACTATGACATAATGGAGTTATGATTTTATTATTTTTTAGTTGTCATGCTTGATTTAGAAGTTTATTAGTATAACACTGGAAGTTATTTTTTATTTGTAATAATATGAAACTATATACATTTTTTAAATGGTGCCCAACCCATGCCCTTATCCATTATTTTTTAGAGAAATTTCATTTTTATTATCATGTTGTCTTTAGTCACGGTTCCACGTACATGCATCATGGTTTTCAAGTTATCCGTGTGTTGGAATTTGCTCCTTATATGCCATCGAATTTAAGGTAAACTGTAAATATGGTTAAACATTATCCCGTTTTGAATTATTGAATCTACATGATTAATTTGTTTAATAGCATTTAAATATCCTTATTGTTTTTCAGGGAAAGCAGATCTCTCTGTATTGCTTTCTGATATGGACAATCAGATTTCCATGGCTCAGGAGCAAGCTGCACGCAGGAAAGACATTTTGGAGAGGGTGGAAAAATGGATATTTGCATGCCAGGAAGAAAACTGGCTTGATGAGTATGAAAGGGTAAGATTAGGAATCATCTCTATATATCTGAGTTTATGTTTTCAAATTCTAATGCGAATATTAGGAGTCATTCTCTTTATATTTGAATTTGTCTTTTCAAATTCTATATATATTCTTACTAACCTTGTATAACTTTTTTTTATTAGTTGCTATTTGGTTCTGCATGCACTTTCTTTCGTAGTGACTTGCTCAGTTTGGATCATTTTTAGTACACGCATTCCCACTCATACATATCTTTCGTAGTGACTTGCATACATACTCTTTTTTAATAACCTTTTGTAGTGACTTGCATGCATACTCATCTCTTTTTCCTCTTTCTCTCTCCTTCTCTTTCACTTTTTTTCCTCTATCTCTCCTTCACTTTCTCTCTCTCTCTCTCTCTCTTAGGTTCTCTCATTCTATCTCGTTTCTCTATTTAAAAGAGAAAAAAAAAGAGAAGCAAATATATATTATACCCACCTCATCGACTCGCCTTGTACTCGTCACCGTCTTGTTGTCATGGCCTTGTGTGCGAACAATAAACTTACAAACTCCCATAAAACCATCAAAATCTTGAATGCGACATGCTTGGAGTGATGAATTTCCCTCGTCGTCACCGTCTTTTAAAATTAGATACTTTTCCCTATGAATGAAGACTTTCTAATTAAGCCAAAATAGTGCACTGTTGCGTATCATGGGTCGAACAACTATTGTAACGGGTTGTGTATGACCCATTAAATCACCTACGCAATTTTGTTTGTACGTTCTTCGAATGCATAGTCCAAATGTATTGAGTGCGTGCAAATGCATAATAAGATGTGCCAATGTACTAACGAGCGTGCTAGCACATTATATTTATGCATTGAAGATCGTGCAAGTATACTAGTACATTGTATAAGTACATCAAGAAAAGTGCAAATGTGTCATGCAAGTGTGCCCTGAAACATACAATTGTATTATACAAACATACCGTAAAATGTAGAAATATGCATTGCATATGCATCAAACAATGTTTGCAACATATCACATTTTCTAAAATTATTATACTTGAATGTGCTTTGATAAATGTGTTTACATCCATCAGAATTTGCACGTGCTAAAAAAATGAATCCAAACTTCTCTCGCTTCGAAGAGTGTTTAACTTTTATATAAAAGCTACAATCATTTTATAATATGCAAATTCTCTTCTTCAAAATCAAACTCATTCGCATGTGCTCCTATATAACAACAACAATAAGCCTTTATCCCACTATGTTGGGTTGGCTACATGAATCTTTTTTCTCCATTGTGTCCTTTTAAGAGTTAAAATCTCATCTAAATCTAATAAAGAAGGGTGTCATATCTAATATTTTATAATCATGTTTTTTTTAGGTCTACCTCTATCTTTCTGAACATAAGTCACATCTAAATGCTCAAATTTAACATCTGATATTGCTGCAAGGTCTGAAAATAATATGAATGTGAATTTCATCATCTTGAGTATGCAATCAACCCATTTTTTTTTTAGTATGCAATCAACCCAAAAAGCATGCAATAACTTTTAAATATCACAAACTCATTTTAATGTTAGATTCAACAAAAAGTAAGCATATTATCAAGTGGACCACTCTATTTATTAGGCATAGTTATAAGTCACATATTTTAAGTCCGATACTCTTCCTTACATGGACTAGAGTTGATATGACTTGAATCTCTTGAGAGGTGTCTGAATAATAAATTTCAATTTGTTCACCACAAATCCTGTTCTCATGAATGAACATATGTTGACCCATGGTTTAAAATTGCACAATATGAGGCTCGCCTTTGCGCAATTCCAGTAAAAAATGCCTCGATGCTTACGCTTCGAGTTTTTTTAATGAGGTTTGTGCCTCAACTTGGTTGAGACCGGTTTTGAGGCTCGGCTTGTCTCACTGGCATGAGGCTTACGCCTCATGCTATATATATTAAAACTTACATAAATCTTGAAGTAAATGCCCGACATTGGACTCTATAGGAAATGAAGAACCCCTTTGTCTCACTCGCATGATTCAAATGAAGAACCCCTTAGTGATGACAGTGCTGATGACTTATGAGTTCTTATGTGATATGTCATTGCTATTTATTTTTGGAAGTTGGAATTATATGTTAATGAAAAGAATACAGGGATTTGGGAAAGATAGAATTTTGAGTTGAACTATATTTCATGTTGTCTTATTATTAAGATAATTTGATTTCACTTCATATCTTATGTTTTTTTATGTTTTATATTATTCACTCATTAGTATATAAAAAATTTATCATTTTATGTTTATGCAATCTTTTGATTTTGAGGCATACTACTCAAAACGCCTTAGGCTTAGGCTTACTCCTCGCCTCACGAATGAAAAACCCCTCAATACTCGAATACACAATTTTAAACATTGTGTTGACCTTCGTACCTCTTATCCTACCTAAAGCCTTCCTGAAATCCCGCTGATATTCCTACAAATCATCGCCGTTCGAGTCGCAGGATTTCTGCTCGAATCCTTTGTTTGTTCATCTGCCCTCGCTATTAAGACAGCAGTCAACGAAGCCTTCGGCTTCCGTTGTTCAAATCTCACACAAGCGAGCCTCGATCTCACTTCCTTTGCTACTCGAACACTCGACCTGCTCCTTCGTGCCTTCAAACGAGCAACTTCCTTGACAAAACTTACCAAACTACTCCAAGTACACTCGAACCAAGCCTCCGGCCGAAGACCCTCGCACACAAGTCATGATCTCTCAACTGTTTGTTCCTCACTCCAATAGAGCTCGTGCCCACTTTGACCTCTAGGACAGATCCACCAGTCCCTAACCTCAAACCTCTCTGCCTTCTCCTCTACACCTCCGACTGATCCACCTTTGTTTGCAAACCAAATCTAACCGAACTTCACACGTCAATCTAGCCAGCAACAACATCCACAACCTATCCCGATCTCCACACGACAGTTCATCATAATGATGATTCAAATGAAGAACCCCTTAGTGATGACAGTGCTGATGACTTATGAGTTCTTATGTGATATGTCATTGCTATTTATTTTTGGAATTTGGAATTATATGTTAATGAAAAGAATACTGAGATTTGGGAAAGATAGAATTTTGAGTTGAACTATATTTCATGTTGTCTTATTATTGCGATATTTTGATTTCACTTCATATCTTATGTTTTTTTATGTTTTATATTATTCACTCATTAGTATATAAAAAATTTATCATTTTATGTTAATGCAATTTTTTGATTTTGAGGCGTACGCCTCAAAACGCCTTAGACTTACGCCTGGCCTCACGAATGAAAAACCCCTCAATACTCGAATACACAATTTTAAACATTGTGTTGACCTTCGTACCTCTTATCCTACCTAAAGCCTTCCTGAAATCCCGCTGATATTCCTACAAATCATCGCCGTTCGAGTCGCAGGATTTCTGCTCGAATCCTTTGTTTGTTCATCTGCCCTCGCTATTAAGACAGCAGTCAACGAAGCCTTCGGCTTCCGTTGTTCAAATCTCACACAAGCGAGCCTCGATCTCACTTCCTTTGCTACTCGAACACTCGACCTGCTCCTTCGTGCCTTCAAACGAGCAACTTCCTTGACAAAACTTACCAAACTACTCCAAGTACACTCGAACCAAGCCTCCGGCCGAAGACCCTCGCACACAAGTCATGATCTCTCAACTGTTTGTTCCTCACTCCAATAGAGCTCGTGCCCACTTTGACCTCTAGGACAGATCCACCAGTCCCTAACCTCAAACCTCTCTGCCTTCTCCTCTACACCTCCGACTGATCCACCTTTGTTTGCAAACCAAATCTAACCGAACTTCACACGTCAATCTAGCCAGCAACAACATCCACAACCTATCCCGATCTCCACACGAGCTGCTACCAGCCATACGATTGCAATCCCTCCTCCTCTGTTACAGTGCTTATCGATCTTACCTCAACTTGTAAAACTTGACTCCAGGGTCTTGCTTCACCTTGATCCAACAGAATTCCCTAGCTTTGAACCTCTCTTTCGATCCGACGTCAATACCTGTTGACCACTTTTATGACTCTAGTTGACGTCCATGCAGCAGCTCACGTCTCCAACCGACACAGCTTTATATCCCTGCAGCCACCTTGTCGAGCATATATATATATATATATATATATATATATATATTGCTATCTATTATTAATTATTATCTTAATTATTATTATTAATAAATAATATTGTTTATTAATATTATTACCCTTTACTATTAATATTATTATTAAAAAAACCGAAAGAGAGAAAAAGAGCTAAAAAAGAAGGGAAGATAAAAAAGGAGAAGAAAAAAAAGGGAAGAGGAAAAAAAATTGTGATTTCATTGTCGACGTACGCTCAATCTTTGTGTCCTTGACATCACTACGTTGCATCATTGCTTACTTAGGTATAATGCCCCTAAAACTCAAAACCTCTAAAAAATCTTGCTTTCTGCGCTAGCGGCGTGTCGAGGGATCACGAGAGCGTGGTGGGAGGGAACTCGGCGCGGCACTTGCGGCGAGACGGGTAGGCCTTTAAGCTCTCTTGTAGCGTGATGAAGACAAAATTAAGTACTTGTGCATGTTCTACAGTGCCTGTGGGGAAAAATCATGACTTCTTTCAAACAGGTAGATCGAAAACTCCTACGCGCTCTCGTAACGTGGTAAGGTTGAAGACCATGACTATGGTGCCTCCCGACACTTATCCTACGCGCTTTCATAGCATGGTAGGAAAGACATAGCTCCCGAAATTCCCCTTAAATGTGGTAGATGCTTGCAATGAGGCATGTGTGTAAAAAGAAAAAAAAAGAAAAAAAAAGAAGAAAAAATATAAAAAAAGAAAAAAAAAGAGAAAGGAGAGAGATTTGCATTTTCATTATAGTCACAACCATCGACACCATACTCGTGCAGCTAGGGGTGTCAATTATTGACACGACTCGACAACCCGACCCGAACCCGACTCGAAAAATCCAGGTTAGGGTTAACCCGTTTAAGAAACGGGTCAGGTTCTAATTTCAATTTT